ATTTTTTTTTTTCCTAAACCAAAATGGTGCGACAAAAATAAAATATTCATAGTATAAGGCCCAAAAAAGGGCACCCCTCTGGTCATTCACTCTCGTCAAGGGAAATCAGCAAGTGCTGATTTGCCATGGTTTCAAAGACGTCTAACTGCTAAACAGTGTCGTGCAGAGATGAAATGATAACTGGACTGTCTAGCCCCTTCTATGTGATTTGTGGATGACTGGTTTCTGAAGTTCTGGTTTGGACATTTTAGTCTGGAGGACAGACCTCGTTAAGGTCGTCCAATTTCAGCAAGTGAGAAGACAAATGTGGCTGAAGTGAAGGCCATGATAGCGGAAGACCGAAATATGGCGTGCTGTCACAGAAGAGACCCTTGGGACTGGAGCGGCGGCATTGAACAAAAAAATTCATTTTAACATTTTTGGGGTGCATAAATTTTGTTCATGTTGGATTCCCCTTCCACTGAGTGCCAAAATGGTTCCAGTAAATTCCTGCAAAAAATGCTGCAGAAATGCAAAAAAAAATTTCAAAATGTGTGTGGTGGTGGCAAGACCACGCAGGGATGATTTCATCTCTTCAAAACAGTGAATTCAGAAATCTCTTCAAACAGTCCATTCCAAATCAGCACTCGCCGGATCACTCTGGGTCAGTCATATGTACTGGGGGGGGTGACATCTTTTGGACTTACGCTACGCGTCGCCATGTTGATAACAATTTTCCAAAAAAATTACTGAATCTTATTGAATCCCAGGAAAGCAAAACCAACATATTTTATTAGGATCAAGGGATATTTAATGCAATTTGGCTAGAACGTCTGGGATGCCCCTCGTATGAGCCATTTTCTACACTGCCAAGATTTGCCCTCGTGTCTACCGTGAAGCCGAATAGACATGATAACGCCCCGAAAAAGGACATAAGAAAGTGTAATCATCAGCAGTTCTCTTACGTATATAAGATTTGTAAGGCGTCCAACGCAAATCGGTCCATATCTCATAACTACGTGGCCTTCCCTTTTTTTTTTTAAATAGGGAAGGGGGTGGAAGGGAGGCCTCTGAACCTTTTTCAGGGGGACGTCCCCTTACGTTAAAAAATTCTGGAAAACCGGCCAATAAGGTTCGAGGAAGGTGGAGCTTTCTACATGCTGCCCATTTTTCGTGTGCGTGAGACAGATCTACCATCTATTTTTTGAAGGTGCAAGCAAACCATTATAATGGACCTCTATGGCGCCAACTTTTAGCTTAATTAGCATGAAAACGCGCCAAATTTGTAAACATCCACTTGCAAATCCGTAACACTAGCGACCTTCGTGGCATAAACTTGGGATTTTGGAATCGATCTTGCCGCTTTTGAGATACTGAGATCAAGTACTAGTTAGTACTTGGTGCGGTACTTATTAGTATCATCATTAGAAGCAGATCAATGAGTGGATGACAATGATATAAGGTTCATATGTATGGGACTAAGCGTTTAGGAATCCGAGAGCGTTTTCTTTCAGCCAGCACAAATCAAAGGGTACTGCGCCCCCTTAAAGTTTTATGGATTTGCTGCAACTACAATTGTGTTGCCCTTAACGCTTCCTTTACATTTCAGACTAAGCAGATTTCAGAATGGAATTGTGTTCCTTCCAAGTGTCCGGTGAATGCCACAAAACAAGTTATATAATTTTTTCAGTGAAAATGAACAGGTAATTTTGAGTCTTAGGTTTGGAAAAGCCAGGAATAAATTTATAATAAAAAAAACTTTGCCTTCGTCGTGAACAAGTTTGATCAGTGCGATATGCTCTTCTCAAGGGAAGGAAGAACTGTTGTGATCCCTTCAACAGCCACAGGAAGACGGTAAGAAGAGGTCGAGTTATCCCCTTGAACATCGCCAAAAAAAATTCATTCTCTTCGTCTGATTCCGGGATGGAAACTTAGTCCAACATGCTTCATGAAGATGTCCAATTTTTGCTCCGCGCAGCAAAATTTCATCGCAGCAAACGCTTTCGCTTCTTTTCTCCACCATGTACGATCGAGACTGCATCCTTTTGCTCCTGCGCAAGCGTGGTAGGTTCTTCCAGTTCGATGGCAGCAAAAGCACAAGAGGTAATCATCTCAAGTTGGGTAAACTGCAGTTGCGGCTCAGGTCGTGACAGGACTTCTTCACTTGTGTGGGGGGGGGGGAACGCGTGGAATGCGTTAGATGACGACGTAGTGGTTCCCCCTTCCATGACTATTTTTAAGAAGAAACTAAATGCTTTTATGGACAAAGCAAAAAGGATGGCAATGTTGATGTAAGGGACTAGGCAGTAACCGACTAGGATGTACAAAAAAAAAGAACAAAAATATTTAGCTTTAAGAGGAGTGGACCTATCCTAAAATTAAGGAACGCTCGATCTCAATATATGATATCCAAATGGGTGTCATCGCCTCCTGATACCACTAACCTATCTTGATACCTTGAAGTGCAGGAGGACGAATGCACGAAGCATTAATCCATTCAAAGCAGTATTTTTCTTGTACTTCCTAAGATGGCGCAGGAAATGGAGTAGGTGAGTGGTTCCCCTGGCTAAGAAGAAATGGATCTGGTGGGCAGAGAATTTCTGAATCTAGGGCAGTGGTTCTCAACCGGTGGTCCGCGGAGGTGCCCCAGGTGGGCCGTGACGAGTATCACTAAATTAAAAAATAAAAATTTACTTTGTATAGTACCAGATGTACATTATCATTACTGATAGCCTGAAAAGACTGAAACCCTTTCGTCTTTGCAATCTGTGTGCCTGGGATTCTGTCCTCATCGTGCCGTCTTTCAGTGGACAATGTTTACAGATTATCCGGTCCAACCGTGTTACACTTTTAATCCTCAAAGAGGTCGTTAAATGTCATCTGTCTTTCTCTCTTCTGAGGGGAGAGGGGACTTCCCCTTTGACCCCTCCGCCAGACAGTGGGGTGTGGCTGATCCTAGGGGAGGA